TATATATATATATATATATATAAACTTTGGCATTAATTGTTTTTGTTCCTACAACAAGCTTAATTAAAAAACAAACACGTTTAGACTAATTAGATAAGGGGTGTGTGATCCTGGTCCAGCAGGGCCGTTATCCTGCATGTTTTATTTGTTCCTCTGCTCCAACACATCTGATTCAGTGAGTGAATCACCTCTTCATGTTCTGCAGAGGCCTGTTAATCACTTATTCATTCAAACCAGGTGTGTTGGAGCAGGGGAACAAATAAAAGGAGCAGGGTAGCGGCCCTCCTGGACCAGGATCACCCACCCCTGAATTCGATGCATCATTTAATAATTCTTGGAAGAGATTTAATTTGAAAGGAAACATTTGGAGCACGCCTGTTCCACCACCACAGCAGTGAACGCAGTGGGATGAGAGTTTTTCTTGTCCTCTCTGCTTCAGCATCATAAACGGCTTCGCTCTGCCTCTGAAGGCCGAACACAAACAGTTCCTGGTGCGAGTCCTCATCCCGCTCCACACGGCAAAGTCCCTCTCCATCTTCCATGCACAGGTGAGAACAAAGACCTGAACACACCAACATGTCCTGCTGTACTCAGAGGGTGGGAAGTTCTCTGTTTTCTTTTAACGTCGATGCTGCCATGAAAGCCATTTGCTTAATTGTCTGTTAGCAAAACATCTCAAAAACCACTAATAAAACTATACAACTCATTTACACCTGAGGTCAACCTAATTCAAGATGGCCACCACAGCTAATCGTCTTTAGCAAACATAAAAATGACAACAGTTCAGTCAGTTTTACAGATATGGAGCTATAATTTGGTCTGGTAGAGAGTCAGCCCGACACAAACTATGAGCACAACTCATGATGAGGATGAAACTCTAAATGTGAGAAAATTAATTTTGACTGAATAAATGAACAGAAAGCAGAGTTTTCTGCAATGTGTCAGATTGACCACTAGGAGGTAGAATTGAGTCAAAGATGCTTTCATTTCAGTGTGTGTGTGTGTGTGTGTGTGTGTGTGTGTGTGTGTGTGTGTGTGTGTGTGTGTGTGTGTGTGTGTGTGTGTGTGTGTGTGTGTGTGTGTGTGTGTTCATCATATTATTTGACGACACAGATGGTCATCTGTTTTATTTGTGTATCACATTATTTGCTTATGCAGAGGGTACAGTTTGTTCCTCACAACCTTGTCTGCGGTTTTTGTTGATTCTAAGTCCCAGCATCGCTGCGTCCTACATTTCTCCCTCCGGTTCACACACATTCATTATTCACGCACGCACGCACACACACACACACACAACTTGCTTTGACGGGGTCACCGGGGACACAGGAGCAGGACTGACCCACTTCTGAGTGTAAATTTCAAAACATGATGTTTAAATGATCTCAGAATGGTTTTAATAATTTAAAGGCTTTTTTTGTGTCGTTTGTTTTTGCTGAATTGAAAGAACAGCTCTGGATGCAATCACGAATCATAAATCTTCAATAAGTTAGTATTTGTAGTTATACAGTCCACCTCGGTTCATTCAGAAATCACACAGAGGCTTAGAGTAGTCAGAACTCTGTCCTACAGACCGATGCAACTCGCGGCGCGTGATTGGTCAGAACTTTGTGGGCATGTTTGTTTATGTGGAGCAGCAACGTCTTTTCTCCACAGCCTTTTGTTGAAAATGGTCGGCTCCCAGAAGCCGTTTGTTTATGGTATGTTCACAACTTTTTTCCATCTCCGCAGTTAAGAAAAAAAAATCTTGTCTATATATTTAGCCTAATGCTACGTGTGCTACATTAAGAGTGCTGTGGGAGGGATTATGATGATTCATCCCTCGTGTCTTCTATGTAACTATGGCTGGGTCTAAATTCAGACTGTAAAGACCGGATAAAAGCAAGTAGGGGTCTCTGCTGTACATGTTGTCTTGTGGGCGGAGACGGACCTATTCATGATGGGCGGAGATCTTGATGTGGGCGGAGATGGCCCTACCCGTGATTGGTGGAGGTTTTGATGTGGGCGGAGTTTTCCCGAACATTGACATGTCTTGTGGGCAACTTAAAAGAGGAAGTAATAGTAAAAAATATGATTTATTGACTGTCTAGGTACAGTTTAAAACTGAACAATGACTCAGAAATTTTTTTGTAAAAATGTAAACATAATTTGACTTAAAATTTCATGCGGCAAGCTTCTTCCCGTCTCAAATTAAGAGTAATATTCATATTCTTATTGATTTTTAGCCGTAGTTTTATGGGCTGGTTGGGGATGTTTTGACCAAACCAAATGTTACACATCTCTCCATGGTTGTGGCGTTCAAATTTTGTGGAGCTAGCACCTTCCTTTCTCAAGTTATGATTATAAAATTAATCTTAAAAAACATGTTGCTTCCTGCCCGACTCGACGCAAAGCTGTAATGTAAGTGGTCGGCACATTCGGCCTTCGGAGGACCCAGACCCTGAATTTGGACACAGCCTTTGTTGGAAACCAGCCTTAAGCAACCCGGGTTAATGGGTCTTGTGAATCTACTCTTTTCCTCAGAAAAAGGATTGGTAAATAAGTGTTGTGTTGAACAAAGCATCCTGGACAGATCATTAGAACACTCCACTACCAAAAGTCCATAGTTGTAACATTAGCACAAATTTTTGTAATTTGCCCGTTTTAATTATCCATTTTCTTTACCCACATTATTTACACAGAAACAACCAGGTACTATTTAGTTACCAGCTAACTTAAACACGAGTACATTGTTTCTAGAGAAAACTCACTTGTGCACAGAGAGAACAAACTCCACCTGGAAAGACTCCAGGTTTATAAATTAGTGTTCTGCTAGGAGAGTCTAGAAACTGCTGTTTGAAACTATTTAAAAACTTCAACCCGCTCAGACTACCTGTTAGCTCGTCAAATAAAAATGACTGAGGTCGTTCGATTAGCTATCCACCACAGGTAAGATACTGTCTCCACAGAATCCCAATTCAGGAGAACGTTACAGAAAGGTTTCATCGTGGCGACTGAATGTTGGTAAAATCATCTCTTTAGCAGCTTTAACAGACTCGTTGTCTTTAATCCTCAGTCACACATCGGCCTCCAGCAGCAACAAAGCACAACGTGACAACAGACTCCTACATATTTACCTGGAGCCCTTCCTCTAATGCCTCTGTAATACTTTTAATAGTTTGACCTCTTTATTATGCTGCAGCTCTTTTTCCTGCTCGGCTTAACAGATCTGTGTCTTGTTTTTAAAGATTATTCTCCCTCCTTAACTGTACTCCTGACACAGTGTGCTGCAGGTAAAAGAACAATAAAAAAAAGTTGCTGGACAACAAGAAAACGAGACAATTAGAAGTAGAGAATGAAAAAAACAAACAAACATCACAGCTTTGGTTTGAATAAATCAAACAAAAACGTTAAACGGACAAAATAAAACACGAGGTCTGAACTTCACCTGTGACATCACTCCTTCCGAGGTAAACACAGAGCCTCCGTCGCCTGGTGCCCACTCGCCGGGGCAACCGCAAAACACACCCGTGCCCACACACACACACACACACACACATTGAACAATAGGAAACGACTGCAGCTCAGAGGAGAGCAGAGCTGATGCAGCGATAATCTCTTACACAGAATTGGAAAAACTCGTCATTCTCATCTTCAGCATTTTGTAATCCTGAGGGATGAAGACTAAGAACCGTCTGACAGCTCGAGGGAGCGTGGGTGGTTATGTGTCTCTGTCTTTGCTTTAAGTTCACATTTTAAATTTTAAATCTATATAGATCAAACAGACGTTAACGTCAGGCAGAATAAAAACAACAGTTTTTAAACAATTTCATTTATCAAAAGAAAAAAAAACTATCCAAACTGATCAGACGTTTTGTGAAACTGCACTCAAGTTTTTGTTTTGTTTTCACTGACATCTTGTTTTAACAGCAGTGTTGTGTGTGTTTACAGCTGGCCTACTGTGTGGTGCAGTTCATGGAGAAAGATGCTACGGTGACTGAATATGTAAGTCTGTTTCTTCACAACAGAACAGTAGAAACCTCTGCTCACCTGACTCCTTTCTAACACGTTACTTTTTGTTACGTTTTGTTTTTATACAACTAGATGTCCTCTGCAGTCCTTGTTTATGGCTTCTGTTACCACCTGTTCTTCATTAGTAGTTCCGCTAATTTGCTAATAGCAGAACTAGCTTCTCATTTAGAGGATTAATTTTTTTGCTGATTTAGGAAACGGCTATTTTTATTTTGTTTATCCTGAATTAAATTTAAAAAATTCCCTCTTACAACCGTGTTGGATGCGTCAGCTACCGTGTGTGTAGCATGTAGCATATTTAGCAGCTAAAAGTCAAACGAAGAGCATCAAAAAGAAATAAAATAACATTTAACAATATTTAACAAATACAAAAAATTACTATGTATAACATATGGTAGAGAAAGTATTTGCTATTTGTTGTTTGACTAACTTCAAATGGTATTTATAAAAATATAAACTTGATATAAATGTTTTTATTCTGAAAGAGTTAAACTGGAAATACCACAAGTTAGACAGAGATGATCCCACACACCTAAATTAAACCAGTAGAAAACAAACAACAGGTTTGTGTCAGCTGGATGGAGATGAAAACCTCAGACAGACTGAGTGCTAGTCGTCTTAGCGGTTAGTATTAGCTTTCACATTTTGTTTTCATTCCATTTAGCGTTTAGCACTAGCGGAGCACACCTGTTGTCACTCAGTAATCACACTTCTCATGGTTTTATCAGCTCTGTTATCCGCCTTGCTTGTTGCTATTTGCTGGTTCTGCTGTTGACTTGAGCTACATCTACACTGCAGGTCGAATCCTGGATTTATACTATATGCGTCTCCGCTCCGCTGCGCTGCGGTGCGCAGGTCGCAGCTGTTCGTTTCTGTCTCGATTTATACAGCATCCGTTCTGCTCCGGTCTGACCGAGAGTGTGAAGGAAGGAGATTGCGCGATAAATCCTGTGATGTGGAAGTCAGAGCAAAAAATAATTAATTCTGTGAAAGACGAACTCTAAACACAGCTGAAAACATTAATATAAAGGCTTATGATATCTATGGTTGAAACTGTATCGCTGTTGTCCTTTTGAAACTTCTGATTTCAAAATAAAATCCACGTGTATCGTGTGTGTACACATATGCTTCATGCTACATGTTACCATCTGCTTCCCAAACAGAACGATACATTCTGACAGCATTTGTGTAAAAATATATCCATATATTCATTAATATAGCTGCAATTTTGACATTATTCCGACAAATTATTCTGCCTAATAGTGTTTTATTTTGAAAATACAGATGTTGTGCTCGTTTCTTTTGCTGTTGGTGCGACGTAATCTTTCAAAATTGACTCCGGCGCGGCTCCGGCGTCCGACAGAAATAGGATCTGTTCTAATTTTGCCGGATCGCCGTCCACTCACCGCCGCCCTGCGCAGCCAGTGTAAACACTCTCAATTATTATAATGGGTGCGTATTTGCTGCAGAGGTCGGACCGGAGCGGAGCTGGAACGCATGTAGTGTAAATTAGGGGGAACAGATCTTATTTTTGTCGGACGCCGGAGCTGTGCCGGAGTCAATTTTTAATGATTATGTCGCATCAACAGGAAAAGAAACGAGCACAACATCCGTATTTTCAAAATAAGACACTTTTAGGCTGGACAATTTGTCGGAATAATGTCGAAATTGCAGCTATATTAATGAATATATGGATATATTTCTACACAAATGCTGTCAGAATGTATCGTTCTGTTTGGGAAGCAGATGGAAACATGTAGCATTAAGTATATGTGTACACACACGATACACGTGGATTTTATTTTGAATCACGAATGTTTTCAGCTGTGTTTGGAGTTCGTCTTTCACAGAATTAATTATTTTTTGCTCTGACTTCCACATCACTGAATTTATCGTGCGATCTCTTTCCTGCACTCTCTGTCGGACCGGAGCAGAGCGTACACTGTATAAATCGAGACACAAACGAACAGCTGCGACCTGCGCACCGCAGCGCAGCGCAGCGGAGACACATATAGTATAAATCCGGGGTTAATGGTCTCATATGATTTTTTTACTCAAATCTGTTTCTTTTTTTTTTTTTGCTTGGTTGTTCGCATTAGGGTTGGGCATAATCGTATCGTGTGCAATTAATCGTCAGAAAAACATTAATCGATTATTTTTTGGCACTTGACGATTAACACGATTAATGCCACCAGGCAGACTAACCTCTTGGTGCTCCTTTCTGCTTCAAATATAACAAACATTAAAAAAAGTTGTGTAATTTATTTATCTATCAACACAATTTAAAGTTTGATGTATAGCCTGAAGTCTGTAATTTTGACACAATTTGGAACAGATTTTAATGAAGAGCCAATTTTCTCCCTATAAATTGGTCATGTGACCAGGACATAAGGGTGTCCAGCGACTCCAGGGGATTAATCGTCAAATTAATCGTTATCGGCTAAATACCACAATTAATCGTGATTAATTTATTTGCCAATATTGCCCAACCCTAGTTCGCATTACGATTTAAATACGACCTCCATCAGACTCCACCCCCAGAAGACATGACGTCACACGCAGTACGCTGTTTACAGAAAGAATTATCAACATTTCTGTTTAGTAGCACATATAAAACAGATGTGGTTCAGGTTAGAAAAACTTGTTAGGTTTAGACTGTCATAAAAAAATCCAGTTACATTTCACATCAGCTGTAGTCTGAATGTAGCACAGTGTTATTAAAAACAGAGTGTCTGAATCAACACATCATCCATCAAATGATTTAAGATCTAAAATTTATTCTTGTAGTTTGGCATCAAGTCTGTTTGTGTTAAATTGACTTCTGTTAAATATTTACTTTCCGATGAACCAAACTGATTATATGAACAGTAATGTTGTGATTATGTGATTTATTTTGTTGATTCTTTAACATGCTTTTTAAATCAATAATGCGTCCAAATTAAAGAAAAATAAAACAGTGTGATGATGACATTAGACAGAGGGTACAGATGAACACCAGCAGGAGTTTCCTGTTAATTTGATTGTTTCTGTTCTGCAGATTATCAGAGGGCTGCTCAAGTACTGGCCCAAAACCTGCACCCAGAAAGAGGTGAAGTAAAAACAGGTTTTATTTCCATTTTTTATGCCTCCTCCTTGTTGTTGTTCTGAACCACACATATTGTGTTTGGGCTCGTTCAGGTGATGTTTCTGGGGGAGATCGAGGAGATTCTAGACGTGATAGAACCGTCTCAGTTCATCAGGATTCAGGAGCCTCTCTTCAAACAGATAGCAGCCTGCATCTCCAGCCCTCACTTCCAGGTGAGTGTGGCGGCATTTCTGCTTCTGCTAGCTTTTTGTGTTTGTTTTATTGTGGTTTTTTTTTTTTTCTGTGCTCCAGTTCTGGGTCTCCTCAGGTTTTTGTTAAATAAATCCTCAGTTTTTACTCTGGCTCCTCGTTTCATCCTAGTCTAAACAAGATTACAGTAATCTGTGTCTACAGATTTATTACAGAGAGTAAAACAAACTATAGAAGGAGCCAGTCGGCAGATAAAGTGTTAATTTTTTTCCCTCTCTGTGCGTTTCAGGTCGCAGAACGAGCTCTTTACTTCTGGAACAACGAATACATCCTCAGCCTGATCGAGGAGAACTGTCAGGTCATCCTGCCGCTGGTGTTTGCTACGCTCTACAGAGTCTCCAAGGAGCACTGGAACCAGTTAGTACCTCACAGAGACTTTATTTAGTGGGTCTACTTTAGGTGGTCTTTAATCCTGAGGCTGAAGGTTGGAGCTCAGGTTTGGGTCAGGAAAGACGCCGGCTATAAAACTTTATGTTCTGATCAGTTTTGGTGTATTTTATAAGTTCTGTAACGAGTTCACTGACCAGACTTTAGTCAAATCTGAGGATTAAAACTTAGTTTAAAATTAAATTAGATTCAATTGAAGTATCATATAAACTGCAGTATTTAACAGTAAAGTATTTCCACTGGTTTTTACTTTACAAAATGTTTTTTAAAGCTTCAGTCTCTCCATGATGCTCAGATTTATTGTCTGTTTCTCCTTCAGGACCATCGTGTCTCTGATCTACAACGTGCTGAAGACATTCATGGAGATGAACAGCAAACTGTTTGATGACCTCACCGCCTCCTACAAAGTGGAGAAACAGAAGTGAGTGTGACTCACCGTCTTTGTCTCGTTGGATACAACAGGGACAACAAACAGGAGTCGAGTCTGAGGTCCTTTTCTCTTCCACCTCCTATGAAAATGTTATTTTTACACCGACCGCACGGCGCTTTTAGATATACATCTAACCGTAGACAATAAATACTGAAGGAAAATACAATTTATTACAGGAGTATAAACTTTGGAAATAATGTTTTTTTACAGGATGAATCTCAGATCTGTTAGAGAGTGTGTATCTAGTTCCTGTGTTTTCATCAGCTGGACTTGTAATAAATTAAATTCACTGTGAATCTTCACCCAAACCAAAAGAACATAATCAGTAACATTAAAACAGGCAGTAATCCTAAATTTAAAAAAAAAATCTCTGCTCATGTTGGCCCACGTTAAATATGAGCAATCCAAGGATAAGTTAAGGTGGTATTTTACAAAACTAATTGAGTCAGAACTGAGAGAAAGCTGGCCATTTTTTCATCGGAGTGTGCGGCCAAGCATGGTTCGCAAAGCTGTATTATTGACCGTGCACATGATTTTGTTGCTCACCTCGGCCTGTTTTGAGCCCACTTTGGTAAAGTTTGAGATTAAACCTACAGAAATACAGTTTAAAAGGGGGGTTATTATCTATTTTCCACATGCATCATTAATTCTAAACCACAATCAAGTAACTTTGTTACCTTCAGTTGTTATGTCGTATATATTTAACGTCTTGAAATTGGTTTAAGAACCTCCTATCGTTTCCAACATTCCCACTTCAGCACATCAATTCTTCGTGCCATTTACAACCTTTCATGGGAGTGTTGGATTTTGTTGTAAATAAAGAAGCAACATTTTATATTATTGGTTACTCCAATGATCCCACGTCGGAAAGTAGGTTTTGTGTTGAACCGGAGCGAGTACAGAGGCTCTTACAAGAAGTTTCAGCTTGGTGATATATCTCTCAGTCATCCTCTCATGCATATACGTAAATGTTAAGATACTTTTAGCAAAAAATAAATAAATAAATAAAACTATAAATCATCATTATGAAGCTGTGTTTTGCAATGAAATCACAAACAGCCACTCTTTTTTTAAGATACGTTTGCTGGTCTGGTGGAGCTGTGGGGGAGGGGTCCTCTTTGGGGCGGTGGCTCAACTGCAGACTGAGCTCCAGGGAGGAGCTTTGTATAAATAGGCGGAGCTTTGTACCAGTAAGCGTTTTAGGCAGCTCCACGTCTATAGGAAATTCAGAGATTTCTCAAACACACATGAACGAGTCAAAGTATGTTTTTGATGAGAGAATTACATTGTAACAAGAAATAAAGCTCAAAAAAGTCAATGTTGCATAATACCCCCTTTAAAATTGAGAATAAGCAGACTTTATAATCATTTTTTAAATAGTTATATTAGCATGGTTTTAGATGTGGACATTAGGAGGTGTAGAAAACAGGTTGTTGTTTCTGCACTTCTTGAGTTCAGCTTAAAACACCTCTCTGTGTTTTCTTTCTGTTTGCCCGCCTTCGTCCCGTGTCCCCCCCCGGCCCGTTCAGGGAAATGAAGCGGGAACGGGAGCGCATCGAGCTCTGGCGAGGCCTGGAGGAGTACCAGGAGCGCCGGATGCAGATGCTGACGGAGGCGGCCAGGAACCAGCGCAACCTCCTGGAGAGGGACGAGAGAGGGGACCCCCTGAGCTCCTTGTCTCCGCAGACGGCTCAGTCCGACCAGCCTGAGCCCAAACCCAGCGGGGCCCCCTCTGGAGCTGGGGAGAGCGCCACCTAGGTCCTGCTCCACCCCCCCACCCACACAGGATAAGGGGGATAGGGTGGTGGGGACTTGAGGTTGATGTTGTTGGGAGACAGAAAAAGGTATAAAATAATTTCTTTTTCATCTTGTGTCATCGAGGAGGCAGCTTCTTGTAAAAAAAAAAAAGGTGCGATCTCTGTGACGCGACACCGTACCTTCTTTCTGGCAGCGTTGTGTGAAACTGGTTCACTTTTAGCTGTGCACACATCATGTCTCAGACCAGAAGATCTAAAGGTGCGAACTGTCCTTTTATTTATTCGAGCTTAGACTCAGTAGCTGGCTCAGTTTAAATCAGCTGTAAAAACAGGAGTGGCCTCGTACGTCACCTTCAGGTCCCAGAGATGCACAAACAAAACAAAAAGAAGCAATTTCACACAAATGTCCCAAAGCTACACACACACACACGTATTTACTGTAAATATCAGAGCTACAGAGGCGTATGCTGGTTGGACAAACCTCACACAGCTGATTCAGACGCTACAAACACACACATTTACTGATTCACAAACATCCGGTTGTGGCGCCAACTCCTCTCCCGATCTGCGCGGCTCCACCGAAACACAACCCGAGGTTCCTTAAACTGCAGCTGATGATGACCATGATGATATAAAGTACAATAATGTTCCTTCTTCTTACTCGTTACTCTACTACTCTACTCTAAGTACTACTGATGTTTTTATATATATACATATGTCTGGATATTTCTGTAGTGTATTATGGGAGAAACACTAGTGTAGCAGAAACCATAAAGAGGAAGGCCGACGTGAAACTCACAGTGTGGTACGAGGCCATAACTCGAGTGCTGAAATTCAGCAGAATGCCCCTTTAACACCTTGAAGAGGGGAGGAATGAACTGGGTTCTCCACGGTTGTTTTCTTTTATTTTGAAAGGTTTGTGGTGTGGCAGGAATCTCTGAACAGTCCTGGTTTATCTGCTAACAGTGGAACTAGCCTCTCATTTAGCAGATTAGCTATTGTTTTTTTATTAGATATCATTAATTTTAAGTCCACTAAAAACATCACAAGTATTAAACTTCTATTTTTATGCCATTTATCACAAATTAGATAAAAATGATCCCCTCTTATAAGGGAGTGTCAGGCACTGTGTGTAGCATGTAGCATCTTTAGCAGCTAAACGTAAAACTAAGAACTTTAAAAATAAATCATTTAACATTATTTAAATAACAAATAGATAATTGATTACATTTACAATGTAAATACAAACTCGATCAAAGAAATGCTTTTATTCTGAAAGGGGTAAACTGTAAGTATCAGAAGTTAGACAGAACTATAACTGGTTTTAATTGGTCGATTTGCCACAGATGATCCCACCCACCTTCAAATTAAACCAATAACAACAGGTTTGGATCAGTCCCACCAGTCTCCAACTTGAAGGAAGTGAAGACGGACAATCGTCTTAGTGGTTAGCGTTAACGTATGCTAATTTAAAAAAAATCTGTTTAGCACTTTAGCATTAGCTGAGCTAAAATTCTTGTTTAATGGATTAGTGAAAAAAAATCTCAGTGAAGTTACAGACGGACTAATGAAGGACACCACAAGCTTTTCAAAATAAAAGAAAAAACCTGGTTCTGACCCAGTCTGTGTCCGTATGTCCGGCCGACCTGAAGCTGCTAGATGGTGAAGATGATCATTTCATTGTGAAACAACAGAATTTGTTCATTCTCGTCCGATCATTATGATAACGTGACTGGAGAGAAGAAGGGGGAAAAACAGAAAAACATTATTTTAGCAATATTTTCATTCTTTCAGGATAATCTGTGTGTTTCTGAAGGAGGGAAACAGGAAGTGACGAGCTTCCTCTAGTTTGTCCTCCTGATCATTCTCACCATGTCTTAAAGGTACCTTCTTTGTAAATTAATTTGATGAGAAACGATTTTAATTTGTAATTTTGTTGTTTTTTTTTCCATTGGTTTTTTTATGACTTTGTTCATTTTGTGGAAAACCGACAATGATGCTATTTATTTTCTATTTGATCAGGAAATGTAACCAGGTTGTGTGTGTTGAGCGTGTGTGTGTGTGTGTGTGTGTGTGTGTGTGTGTGTGTGTGTGTGTNGTGTGTGTGTGTGTGTGTGTGTGTGTGTGTGTGTGTGTCTGTGTGTGTGTGTGCCGATGATGATGGAGAACGAGAGGAAACGATGATCTCTCTGCTTCTTTTATTTCTCGCCCTCTTCTCCTTTTCGAGGGACTGGGTTTGAATTTGAATGTATTGTAAAATGTTTTTGATTTGTTGTGTTTTTTTTTATGCTAAAACACGGAGCTACCTGTCAGCTGCTTTGTAACAAACGGTCACTTCACGCCTGAATCAACAAAGTTTCAAAATCACTTTTATTTTCAGCCAAAAGTGTGAAAATTCAACCTTCACCAAACTGATTCTTCTGATTCTACAGATTGTTTAAAAGATATTAAAGTTTGGACCCTCTTCTAGCCCCCAGCTTTAAATAACGGTTGAGTAGAAAATCCCAAAGATGAGATGATTCAAGGCAACTTAAAATTTTAAAACAAAACCTTTTAAAGGAGACATATTGTGCTTTTAAACCCTTTTTCACATATAAACCATTCATTTGGGGTCTTTATAAAGTGGAACTGCAACACTTTGGTCTGAATTATCCTTATTTTAACTCCACAAGCCCCGCCCCTTTTTTGGGGTGTGTCTCAGATCAGCTCGTTTTGAGGCTGTCTCTTAAAAATAAGACCCAAACTGAATATAAAGCCGTCTATGCAGCATTAATTAAGCTTTTCTGCATTTCTAGAGACTCAAAGTACAACAAAATGTATTTAACGGCTAAAAAAGTGGATTTTGCATGATAAGTCCCCTTTAAACAAACAAATGTCCTGTAAAAACTGAATCTTATCTCCATGACACTCAACTCTAAACCGTTTAAACTAAAACAAATTAATACAATAATTGAAACTTTCAGCACTCACAAATAAGTTTTATATAACTTTTAAAAAGATTAGAGCGACAAGAACGAACAGGCTTCACCCCGAGGAAACTCAGATCTGCTCCTTCCCGTTGCCACAACACGTTAAAGCTGTTGAACGTATTAGTGAGTGCTGACAGTTTCAGCTTTTATCAGCAGCTTTAACAGTGAACAGAAGCTCCACACAAATTTGATTTTGAAACTTTAGTTTGATTCAGGTAAAAAAAAAAAAAAAAGACGACAGCAAAATGGCCAAAAAGTGTGAATTCACTGGCACAAACGTTTTTATTTTTTAAAACCTTTTTTTTGTACTTTTGTTGCAACTTGTTGGATTTAAAATTGATTGTTACTCTCAGCCAATCAGCTGGAAGAACCGAACCCTTAAATGCATTTAATGTTTTTAAAACCCCAGATAATTTCACTCGTTCAGCACTGCTTCAAAACGAAGAGAGGAGGGAGGGGTTTTAGACGTCCAAACGTTGGTTTAACCGTCATGTTGTCCTCTCTTTGTTTATTGGGAGGAACTTAAAGGCTCAGAAGGAAGGTGGGTTGAAGGCGAAACTCAAACAGGAAGTAAAACGAGCGGAGGAGACAGAGGAGAGGAGATGAGATCGACGCGAAAGCGCGGCAATAAGTCAGGATGAGAATATAAAGTTCATAAAACCTACGAGCGCATTACGTAGCAACTTCACAGAATCTCTAGATTTGCACTGTCTGCCCAATGATCTGTGTTTGTTTTTGTTGAAGATAAAAAAAAATAGAGAAGATGATAAAGAGGATGATGAAGATGTATATTTTGGGGACCAACACATCAGCGATTGAGGGGTGGGGGGTGGGTTTGAATGTAGAGAAACTTACTGTATGTTACATAACAGGGATGTAGAACGGACAAAAAAATCTATGTGCTAAAAAAAATGAAACTTCACTTTGAGAAAACACTCAAGAGTCTGTGTCGTTTTTCTGTGTCTGTGTCGTCAGTATTCAAAACTTTTAGTTTGAAATTTCTCTAAAAGCACCGTTCTCAAACTGTGGTACAACTGCTCAGAAAAGTTCAATAAGACGTTCATGTTCTTGATATTTTTGGAAAATCCATTCCTCTAGTTAACCTTTGTGATAAAAATATAAATAAATCTTTATTTGTAAAGTGTATTTTTAACAATAGATGTACTGAAGCTGCTTTAAAATAGAATTTAAAAAGCAAAAAAAAAAAAAAAAACTTTAATCTGACTAAAAGCAACTATAAAAGTGATTGAACTCATGAAACATTTGGCAACATTTTAGTTTGATGCATCCTGGGATCAAACCTGCAGCCTCAGGATTATGAGACCGAGATACCAAACACTGATCTACCATGATCCCCAAAACAATAAAACACTTTTCCTTTAAAGGTATCATATCATGCTTTTATTACTTCTTTTTCACGTCTAAATCATTCACTTATGGTCTATTTAAAATAAAACTGCAACACTTTGGTCTTAATTCCTCGTTTTTGTTGCTCCACAGACTCCTTGCTTTCCTTGCTTAACCCCTGTTCTGAGTTGCGCCTCAGAGCAAGCTGTTTTGATGCTGTCTCTAGATATTTCACACCCCGCCCCCTCCAGGTCGCTGAGCGTTCGACTCCACCCCGTTCGGCCATATTTGTAGTTTCATAACAAAAACACAGTTATCTACCGACTAAAAACTGTTTTTAAGATAAAATAAGATAAGATAAAACTTTATTGATCCCACAGTCTGGAAATTTGCACATTACTGCAGCTTAATACAAGAGAGGCTGAGAAGAATAATGAAAGATTAATAAAAGATAACAAACAAAACCCTACAATATACACGTGATATATAGTAATGTACCAATGCACAATGTATACACATATACATAAACACATATGCTTATTTATATACATATATAAACCGTAAAGTACAGTACAAAAATGAATGTATATGAAGGTGCATATTAGTGATGGCAGATTGCAAAAAAGTATAAGGATGTCAACAACGGTAGACTTGTCAATCCAGCCTTACATGTATGAGCCAGAGTCTGACCTAGTGCAAGACACTCAGAATAACAAACCTGCAGAACCACGTCTTCAAACGAATGTGTCACAATGGTGTGTTATTTATTTACACACTCTATGTCCTTATCTACACTGGGGAGCATAGCTAAACTAAAATACATGCATTTGAACTACTATTTAACTACTATTATATTATATAATTTACTTTTGTGATCAATAAAGTATTTTTTAATTGAACAACTGCAATATACTCACACTCACTGTACAGATG